GTGAGGAAGACCAGAGGTCATTCTCTTCGCCATCTTGGTTTTGTAGGTTTTAGCTGGCTTCTTTACTGCAAACTATTTGATGAGCAAATTCTTTATGATCTGTATCTTGTGCCAACCTCCTATCTTATCCAGTGACTTCAAATGCCCTAACCATGTGGGAATGAAGCCAGTAGGTTTCAGGCTTATTTTTACCCAGTTCCTATTCAGGATGGAGTTGTTCCGATTCAAATAGCCAATAGCCACGGATATGACTTACGAATCCTCATAGTGACTCACTGAGTGGATATTTGGGACTCCCAACACAGGTAACCTTTGCATATAATGAATTAGCCTCTCTCTTATGCAACAAGCATGGTACTAGCTCTGTTTTATGAGAAAATAGTGATTCAGACAATTTTCACATTTCAAAAAAAGATGTTAAAATAATTTAGCAAATCATTTTAACATTTCAAAAGTGCTTTTTTGAATGTTTTAAGGCTGAGTAGGCATGGATTCCTATGCACTGACTCCATACAAATCTGGGAAGCAGGCATTACTAACCCACCTGAAGGTAAAGAAATAGACTTAGAGTGTTTATCATGCACTGGTCTCTGTCTCTTACACTAAACTATGAGCTACTAGAAAACATTTTTTCCACTTATGTGTTTCCACTGTCTAGAGCAGTCCATGCCAGAGTTAAATTAATGAATGAAAGAATGCATTAATTTAAAAGTTAATTTTGAAGTTTCTACAAGATGATAAATTATGGATCTGGGACACGAACTGATTCCTTTCTAATCCCAAGTTAATGCATTTCATTACCCCAAATTGCTAAGCATTTTGACATATATGCTTACTAATGAGGAGATTACAGTATATAGAGGCTTAGAGACTGGTCCAAAGTCATTCATGCATTCAACATTTATTTTTGACTATGTTCTGGGCTTGTGCTAGGTTGTAGGATATAGGTTAAAAAGTAGGCAAAGAGAAAACTTTCATATTGCAATATATTGAAATAGACTCTATTGAAAACGTACAAAGGGGGATGAAACTGGAGGATTCTCTGACTACATAAACACGTACACTAATATTTGGAAGAAATCATGAGCATCCCAAAGTTTGTCTGACACAAAGATTGTGCTTGGACTTGGTAGGACCATTCAGAGGATTTCCATTCTTGGCGTTACCGATACATGGTATTTCTGGTAGTGAGAATGATATGTGGATTTCTCACACTGAAGCAATGGCCTTGAAATAATGAAACATAATATAGACTGTTTCATGCTCTCAATCAGATCAGACTAATTTGACTCCAAGTGCAAAAGCTTCAAGACTGCTTATCAAGTGGCTAACATTCAATGTCCCAATAATTCCAGCCACACATACTCAAAATTAATTAGGATGTATCAGTCATTTTCATATATCCCTGAGTCAGAATGACTTCAAATCTAAAATGAGAAAAGATTAAATCATATGTGATACTCTCTCTATGGGATAGGAGGTAAACAATGAAGAATATGGAGTAAATCTTTGATGTTGAGTATATGACATGTAATTAAGTACAAGACAAGCCACCACAAATATATTGAATATACTGGAGGGTAACTGGAGTTCACTGAACTTTGAAAAAAAATTTTTAATGCAATGTTAAAGTGGAGTGAGTCAGACACTGCTTCTTTCCATTCTCTTTTCTTCCCGTAAAGATACAGTAGCCATTTTTGAGCATGAGAAAATAAGTCGCAGTTTAACATGATAAACAAAATAAGAAGGCTTAAATCATACCAGGTACTTCTGAACTTACTGTTTTGTAGCGATAAATGCATATTTGCTTAAGTCACCATAGCCCACGGAAAGGTGGAAACTAGTCCTAACTCATGCATTGGTGCTTCTCTAGTATATAATCTTTTGCTTCATTCAAAATATTATTCTGGGACTGTCCCACACTAAAGCTATCTTCGAGTCACTGTTACAAATTATGAACTATGTATCAATGAGCTTTTTTGTGATGCATCTATATAAGTGAGTACAATGAAGAAACTAGGCAGAGTTCCATGCAGAAGGTATTGATGATTGATGATCCACTGCAGATATCTCATTTTCAAGACAGAAAAAAAAATAAGAAGAAAATGGTAGGAATGGTGTGAACATTTATAAGCTGACACAATAGTTGAGTTCGTTAAGTGAATTTTAAATTTGTTTCAAATATCATCATGTAGCTAGTCTGCTTATAGTGTTAGCTCAGTGCCAGGTATGACTTGAAGTGTTTTGCAAGAAAACGAAAGAAGAGAAACACAACTTGTGACTGTGAAACAAAGACAAACTTTTAGCAAACACAGCAGGATTTCTACATGTAAATGATTCTTGGCCTTTAATATTATGGCCTTAAAGAACTGTTCTCTGATTTTGGTGACACTGCTGTAGTCTTTTGACACATCACTCCTTTTGAAATTATCTACTGAGGAAGTTCATAATCCAAAGAGAAAAAATCCATCTTTTTTACTCTGTTGTCACACACACACATACTCACAAGTTTAACTATAAACTGTAAAAATTATGTTTTTAGAAGGTTTTTAGAGACAGCGGAAGGGATATTTTGTACAACAGAAGAACATAACTTGAAAAGGAAATTCTATAAACAATATTTTTAAAAGCATTTAAATGCATTTGAAGAATTCTACATCTTAGGCTGTAGGCATCTTGCAAGAAATATTTCCAAGTAGTTTTCTTGGTTGGTTATTCCATATTTTATACTTGAGTACATTATAGTGTCTAAGAACTTTTCTATATTTATTTTCATGCTCTAATTTTCCAGATAAAGAAATTGAAGTTCAGAGACATTAAGTAAATGTATTTACTGTATCAGTCAGGGTTCTCCAGAGAAATGGATCCAATAGGATAGAGAGAGAGAGAGATGGATGGATGGATGGATGGAGGGATGGATGGATGGATGGATACACTATTATGAGGTCTAGAAGTCCCACCATGTGCCATCTGCAAGCTGGTAAACCAGGATAGCCAGTAGAGTAATCAATCCTAGTCTGAAGGCCCGTGAACCAGATGCTACAATGTCTGGGAGTAGGAGATGATGGATATCACAGCCCCAAAGAGAGAGATGATTTGCCTTTCCTCCACCTTTTTGTTCTATTCAGGCCCTCAATAGATTGGATGATGCCCACTCACATTAGCAAGGGTGATCTTCTTTACTCAGTCTACTGTTACAAATACTAATCTCTTCCAGTTAACACCCTCGCAGATATACCCAGAAGGAATGTTTGACTAGCCATCTGAGCATCTCTTAGGCCAGTCAAGTTGACATATAAAGTTAACCATCACAGTTACCAAGGTGCTAAATCCGGTGACAGTCACAAAGCTGGGCTTGGAATATGGGTCTTCTGCATTCAAGTCTACTGTTATTTAACTGATGTTTCTTTTGCCATTTATTTTTGCCCACATCATCTGAAATAAGTTTGAGCCATTATGTATGTATTTGCATATTTTTAATTGAGATCCAAAATGTTTTCATCTTTAATTATTATAGTTATGGATGTCATAAATCTAGCATACTATAAAGGAAATAGCCTCATGATAAATATAATAGAGATAGTCATTCATTAATATTCAACTTGTTAACATCACCCACATAGACTTACCAATAGTTGTTTTTAGAATTCAACAAAGCTTATTCATTATTGCTCTTATTTCAAAAGGATAAAATGTTCTATGTGGAACCATACACACAAAAAAGGATATTATGTATTAGCAATTGAATTTATTTGCTATCACAGTTTTACAAAATTTAAATTCTGCAGTTCTATTTTTTAAATTAAATAATGGATATTAAGCATCTACAGCAGATATTTCATAAATGTTCAAATGTGAAATAGCTTTATTCCTACTTATAGCTTTATTTCACTGATTTTTTTTAATAAAAAGTAACATGACATAATAAACAAAGAATCTGACAATTAATACCATGTAACTTTACCTAACTGTGACTTGACTTCCCTGAGCCTTTCTTCTCTTATCTGCATATCTACCTATTTTATAGAGTTATGGCGTGACTCTAACCAGAAAATATATCGAAAGTACTGTGAAATTTTAAACACATATTAACAGTTCTCATCATTAATCCATGGTGGATCTCTTTTGATTCAAATATTGCAAATGGCAGCCACAGTAACCTGCATCTCATCCTCCACACTCTCACTGCATCCTCATCAGCCCTATATTACAAGCTTTTAAACATTGGTGTCAACTTAGAATTCTCTATCTCCGATCCTGTCAATTTTGCCTTGGGAACATCTCTTGAGTCAGGTGTCTTACTATTTTTCCCATCACCGGTACCTTTTCTTGTTCAGTTCTTCATCAACTCTTAACTGGACTATAGAAACAACCCCTTCTCTAGTATTCCTGTTTCCAGTTCTTTTTGGCTCAAATACCTCCTCTATCCTGTGGCAAAGCTTATCTTTTTTATTTATTTTATTTTTGTTTTTGAGATGGAGTCTCACTCTGTGGCCAGGCTTGAGTGTAGTGGCGCGACTTGGCTCACTGCAACCTCCACCTCCTGGGTTCAAGCAATTCTCCCGCCTCAGCCTCCCGAGTAGCTGAGATTACAGGAATGCGCCACCACGCCTGGCTAACTTTGTATTTTTAGTAGAGATGGGGTTTCACCAAATTGGCCAGACTGGTCTCGAACTCCTGACCTCGTGATCCACCCGCCTCGGCCTCCCAAAGTGCTGGGATTACAGGCGTGGGCCACTGCGTCCGGCCCTAAGCTTATCTTTTTTAAAATGCAAGTGGATCATTGTCATTCTCAGTCACTCTCCATTGTCCACGGGGATCACTTGGCTCCTCCATGTATCGTGCATGTCTCATAAAAACATGACCAGACAAAATTCCAGTCTGCAACCCTGCTTCTCCCCATTGTGTATCTTTTGCCCAAGCTACCTTAAACTTCATATGGTTCCACAATGTTCCTTTTCATGATTGTGAACCTGTGCTCTGTTATCCTCTCCTTGCAGAATGTTCATAATGTGTCTGGGTTGCATGAAGATGGAAATGAAAGCCCTTCAAGATGAGAAGTACTGTACTTTACAATGATTATTCATGTTATTGTACAAGTTTTAATCATTTCAAAATCTTAGCACAGATATACAATGACAATTAAATTTTTCCTAGTCTGTATCTGCAGGACTATTCAGGAATTGTTCAGTGCATCATTTAGCCTGCAAGAATTAAAGAATCTTGTGAAATGAATGGTTTTAAAACTGAATAACTTTGGCAAAATAGAAAATTTAAATAGATTTCTCCCTCATCTCTCTTGGAAATTTCATCTAATTGCATATAATTTGATATTATAAATTTCAATATATGAAAATTACATTCTGAAGTAATTTAATTACTTAAGAATGGTGTAATAATACTGTAATATAAATTTTTTACACTTGTCTCATTTCAAATGGCCTAGAGCCATTCAATGAACATTTCCATAGTCGAAATAAGTAGAGAGCAGTTCCTCTTCAGACTTCAAAGCAAGACCCAGAAAGTGAAGAGGATTCTAACTACCAATACAGGGTTATATGTTAGCCAGAAATTGGGTTTCTGAAGCCAGTTCCACTAAAGTTTGGTGGTAAGTAAATGGAGTCAGAGATGATAATAAAGCTTTAAAGTAATACATTTATTGAGCACCTACTATGTGCCAGGCACTTTCTCATTTGACGCCCCCCCCCAACCAAACAATATAAAAACATACATATTTATCTATTTTTTTAATGTGGAAAAAATGAGAGTAAGAAAAGAGAAAGGACTCTTCCACTAACAAACTGCCCAAAGGCAGCCGAGCAAGAACTCATCCATCATTCACACCCATTCATGGAATGCCTTTCAGTGCTCCTGGTTCAGTACTAGGAGCCTGGAATGCAAATGAGAACACCAGAGTCTCTACTCTCCAAGGGCTAATGTCTACTAGATTGAAACTCAGGTCTGCCTGACTCCTTTTCACTGCAACACACTGAATAAGGCATGTCCAGTTGTAAAACATGATATACCTGTTGCTGTTATGTTTATAACTATTATAATCTTTTCCTCTCACATCAGCCCTGCTAATAATCCTAATCACTATAACTTTCTGTATCATTTTATGTAAAAGAGAAAAGAAGAAAATAGGTGAAAAGAAGATAGGTTATTCTTACCATTGGGCCTTTACACCTGGATACCTCGCCTAAAGGCCCCTTTGGTATGTTAGCACCTTAGCAAAAGGGAGCTTTAGTCTGCAATACCTGTGCCCAGAGTATATCTTATTTACAGTTGGCCTATTTGCCATTGACATTTTTGCTCACAGATTTGGTTTTCGTAATTCTCTAGACTTCGCTTGTGGATTTTTGGATTGAGTCTCGACTCTGTGATATAGTCTCTGATTTTGATGTAAAGAGCATTCCTGGATAATAGACCACCTCCTCCATTTCTAAACCCATGATGTGTTACAGAGGGAGGAGAGGAAAAGAGAAGAGGGCAGGGGGAGACCATTCTTGCTGCAGGCTTCAGGAAGATCGGGAACATGGTTGTCTTGTTTCTGCCAAATTCCAGTTCCTAGCACGACATCTGGAATCCAGTAGGGTTCTTAATTATGTGTCGAGAGACTAGGAAGAGCAAGGAGAACCATGGAGAGTTCCTATGATTACGGAGTACTTTTCATCTTCTCAGAGGAAATACAATGAAAAGCCCATAAAAAGTATTAAAAGAGAAAAAGGATGTCTGGTTTGACGTTAATCCACACCATCTAGACTTGGATCTGCTCCTGTATCTGGTACCTATGACTTCTTTTATTATCAGAGAAATCAATTATTATCAAGTATGTGAAGAGTTCTTCATCTATACTTGAAGAGGAATATGGACCTAGAGTGCAAAAAATAAGATGTTGAATAGCTTCCCAGTGGAGAGGCTGTGAAGCCCTAGAACATTTTACAGAGAAAACTCTGTAAGATTAGCACCTCATCTGTTTGACAGTTTAGCAGAGTAGTCCTGTCTGGAGGAAACAGCAGAGATGAGCTTGTTTCCCATTCCTTCCAACTCTGCAACCTATTGATTTTGAATCATTCATCCCAGTGTGAATAATTCACAAAGAAGAAAAATTCCACTAGAAGAGTTTCAGTACTTTGGCCTTTAATAATGCTCAAGACTTTTCTTGGAAAGGAGGAAAATTCAAATAAAAAGGTCTTACTTGCAAAAAGTTAGAGCTATGTCATGTGAAAATTGGCTCCAATCCTGAGGAAGGCCAAGTTGGACACATTGAAACAAAAGGTCTGCAACGTGGCCATGTCTTCCACACACTTGTTGTTTATTGGGTTTTACTCAAATGTGTTCGCTAACTGACTAGAAGAGGCTTTCACAGAAGAGTCACACTTTATTTCTGCCTCCAGATACAGGCATTGCAGCCTCGGCCTCCCAAAGTGCTGGGATTACAGGCGTGAGCCACCGCGCCTGGCCAGATTTGTTTTTCAAGAATAACCTACTCAGCTCTGAGATGTCAACTTAGACTGTGCTTTCGATCTTTTTTTCAATGTCTCAGTCCTGGCCCATTTAAAAAAAAAATTCTTTCTCAAAAACCTCCTTTATTTTCTTTTAGGACATTGTCTCATTTGAGATTATAGAATGATTAATGTGAATGAGGTACCCACTTTTACTAGGCCATAAGCTTCCTGAGGGCAGGACCACGTCTGGTCTTGCTCACTATCCCATTTTAAGGTGAAGCAGTTTAGCATGGAGATGCTTGATAGACATTTCATAAAACAGAGAAATTTACATAACTACATGTTATTTAAATGTAACCTAGGGAAAAGAGTTGAAGCAAGAGTCATCCAAAAAATATAAATCATGGCCGGGCAGGGTGGTTCACGCCTGTAATCCCAGCACTTTGGGAGGTCAAGGCGGGCGGATAACGAGGTCAGGACCATCCTGGCCAACATGGTGAAACCTCGTCTCTACTAAAAACACAAAAATTAGCTGGGTGTGGTGGTGGGTGCCTGTAATCCCAGCTACTCGGGAGGCTGAGGCAGGAGTATAGCTTGAGTCAGGGAGTCGGAGGTTGCAGTGAGCTGAGATCACGCCACCGCACTCCAGCCTGGTGACAGAGCGAGACTCTGTCTCAAAAACAACAACAACAACAAAATATATATATATATGTGTGTGTGTATATATATGTGTGTGTGTGTGTATATATATATAATATGTGTGTATATATATCATAAACATAAGATGGTCAATGGTGGAAGAACCAAAAAAGAAAAAAAAAATGGAAAGGAGAGGAGGGGAGATAAGGAAAAATGAAATGAGTGTGACCACCATTAAGTTAACTGGGATTAAGGTAAAACAGTTTAGGACTTTGGAGAAGCTAATTATATCAGAGCTTATTAGGAAAATGTTCCTCCATTATGGGTTTGGCTTAACTGTTGCTGCAAGAGAGTTAAGACTCAAAACAAATGGCTTTGATAGCTGAACAGCCAAGCTTTCTGTGAGCAAATCTGCCCGGGGGAGGGAAAAAGATTTTTGCAATTTTAAAATAGATTTCTATTTAGCTAACAGAAGCTACATCCAGAACGTGCTGTGATTATCAGTATTATTATTTCCGATTTTTTGAATGGATGCTAAGGGCTACCAATTAAAATGAACTTCCAAAATCTCTTGAACCTCATGTGTTCATTGGAAATTCATTTCCCCTTCCCACTGTTTCACTCTTGTATTTCATAATGGTACTATTTTTTCTCCCAGATTGCACATAGAGACCACACATATATTTTCTATTAGTGTGTAAAGCTACTGAAAATCTCATGAGAAAAATAGGCAACATTGCCACAATTTTACAGGATGAGGCAAGTGTACTGTAACAACTACAAAGAGGTAAACACTTCTAAAAAGCCACTCTGAGGTGACGTGGGCAGGAAATGTGGGTGGAGGTCAGAGAAGAGAGCTCTTTGGGGCAGAAATAATAGAACCCGAGAGAGTTAGGGAACATTTTATAAGAGAGGAGATTCTGAGTGCGGGTGGGCAGAGCTGATTGTGGTATGACCACAAAAGCACCTTGAAGGACTGGAGGAGGTAGGGGAACATGCAAAATTGAAAATTGAACTCATTCATTTTTTTTTTTTTCCTCTGAAGCTGTCTGCTTCAGGAATAAACTCAAACACATACATTTTGGGGCATCATAAAATGTATCCCTCTTTTCCAGCCATATGGGAAAAGAATGAAAAAGGGATAATGTAAAAATGCAGTTTGAAAGGTCTTTCAATTCCAATGTGCCTGAAGGTCTTTTTTGTTTGTTTTTGTTTTCTGGCATTAAAGAAACATTGAATCTCATTGATTGCTCGCAATGTTAAACTGAGGGAAAGCTCTTTGTCATTTTTCTGTGTAAAGAAGATAAAATTAGAGTGATGTCAATAAGTCTGTGCCAAATATTGTATCTATAATCATAAAACATTTCTTCACTGACTAGTAGATCAAATACTATTGTTTCATTTATTATGTGTGTATATATACTTATATATATATACACATATAATTATATATTTTCTTCCTTGTTTCACATTAGACAACATCAAACCCTTTATTGAAGAAAGAAGAAAATTCAGTATGTCCTAGAACGGCTTGAAGCTAACATTAGTAGATTGTTGTTATAGAAAAACCTAGTGACTATGTAGGCATTTTCTGTATTTTGCAGAATAAAATTAATATGTTGTATTAATCAAAATATTTTAATAGATTGCTTGTAAAGCTACACATATCAAAAAAATTATCTTTTAGTTACTTTTGCTGAGTCTGAATATATGTCACCCAAGGAAAATATTTTTGTGCTTTTAATTTTCTTTCTAGAACTCATCCTCCCTAAAAAAAAAGTAATGAGCCACTCTCTCATCTTGCTTTGCACTCCCGCTGAGTAGATGTGAGGGTGAACTTCAAAAAGCACTGCTTATGGCTCAGTTGCCAGGGCTGGCATATAGGACGAGAAGCTGAACTCATTTGAGTATAATATTTTATTTCCTGGAGTACATAAGAGAAATGTTCATGTAGAGAATAAATAGCATTTGTTGGCCCTTTGAAAAATATGTCATGCTAGAAGATTATAAACTGATGAGTAAAAAACAGTCACTTGGAGAGAGAAGACTTCAGGATAGGGAACACAAGCAATGATAGAACTTTTTTTCTTCGTAGATTCTCTTACTGCAAGGATGTGTAAGCGTTCTTTCAGGCATCCAAAAAAACTA